GGGACAGCAACCCGGCCCCGGGCTCAAAAAGGTTGCCTACCCCTGCTTCTATTGATGCAGCCTAGAATCACACTGGCCTTTTTAGCTGCTGCAGCACACAGTTAACCCATGTTCAATTTGTGGACTTCTAGACACATAAGCTTGCTAAGCCAGGTGTCACCCATCCTGTATTTATGCATTTAATTTTTCCTGTCCCTGGCTTCATACCATAGTTCTTCTGGGTCTCAGCCTATTGTTTTGAGTAGCATAAATCTGTTTTTGTTTCCTTTAGTGCTCAGTTGTATATCTTTGCTCTTTAGGATCTTCTCTAGTTCTTTCATAATAGCTGCCCTCCCCATTCTTAGTTCTCTCCTGATTTCCTGGCTGCAGTCCCTGTTCTTAGCAAAAACACAGTCTAAACATGAAATTAATTTATGTTTCATATATACCTAATGCACATAGCCTGAAGGTAAATTTATGCTTATTTTAATAGTTTTGTGCATGAAACAATGTTTGTCTACACTGAGCCATCTGAAAGCAAAGATGTCACTCTCTCATTCATCTGAAGAAGTGGACTGTAGGGTAACTTTGATGGACTTAAGTCATACTTAAAATAACTCTATACGATTATATATGCATCTGAGGAAGTAGACTGTAGTCTAGGAAGGATAAATATGGACCCTAAGCTTTACTTATTAAGTATGGTTAATAATGAGACAGTAGAAAATAAACACAGGAAACTATTATTCTATATGACTGTAACAGCTTGGATTATATATGCATGTAAATGGAAAAGTAGAGATTGTCCATATATAAATGCATTCATTTATATCTGGACAATCTCTACTTTTCCATTTACATGCATATATAATCCAAGCAGTTACAGTTTGACAGATTAATAGAATGCATAGAAATAGATAAACTTACCTGTTTGATGAGAGAACATTCCTGGGAAGAACAGAAAGAAGACTGGAAATTGTTGATAGACTTCCTGTAAAAAGAATTGGATGAGAAGGTTATTGTTTAATTTTTCTTTTAATTTAATGATTTATTATGATATTTCATAATATAGAATGATTCAGGAGGGTTTTATATTTACCCACTATAATAGTTAAGTTAAAAAAGCAGGGACTGAATAGAGAGACTCAACAACTTACAGGCTTTTGGATAATAAGTTAATAATTGAAATGTCAAAACAGAGCTCAGGAAGTTCATTTTGTGGTGTTTTGTGTGGTGTCTTCATGTCGTTATGTATTATGTTATCTGTTATATGTAGTCATGTGTTTCATTTTTTTAATATTATTCTAATAGTTATTATTTTTTAAAAAATAAAGCTCATGCTGCCAACTTATTTTTTTCAGTTAGTCTCAAAAGTGCTGCAAGATCTCTCTACATACTGATTCTACAGCTATATCTTTGAATTCTATCTTGGGTAGGTTTATTTTATGCCACAGACCAGTGGCTTACTGCATTCACATTTTAAATATGAAAAGATAACTTTTAGTAACTTTTGAGAAACACTCGATTTAAAAAAAAAAAGTGACTCTGAGGCCATCTGCACTGCAGAAATAATTCAGTTTGACACTACTTTAATTGGCGTGGCTCAATGCTATGGGTTTCTGGGAACTGCAAACATTCAGGGCTAGCTGTGTTGGCCATTTAGCAAATTCAAACAAAAATCCATCAGTGATACCTTTACTGCCCAACCAAAATGCACAATATATTTGTTGCAAGCTCTGGGAACTGTAGTTTGCCGCAGACCAAGAGCTCTTCTGACAGAAAAGGCAAAAATGTCTAACAAAGCGACACTTCCCAGTATTGTATAACACTGAGCCATGGCAATTGAAAGTGGTGTCAAGGTGGATTATTTCTGCAGTGTGGATGTGGCCACATGTTGTTAAAGGGCTACTTTGGGAACCTTGGAACTGCAACTGTAACTGATTGCTTTTTAACAGTAACTTTCAGATCAGAATGTTGGAATGGTGATTTATAATTTGTAATTACTATGAAAGTATGACAAATAGCAGTATTGGATGATCGTGTAGTAAGTAGCAGAGTCAATATTTAATATTTAATAGATAAAAGCAAAGCAGAAATAAGAATGTAGAATATAGGATATTATATATGAAGGTATAAGAAAGTTAATAGTATTATAATTCATATTGGAGGGAGGAAGCTATGGAATGATTGTTAAGTATGTCTGAAATAAGGTATGAAAAATAGGAAAGAGAGAGAATAAGAAAGTCTTTACAGGAGGGTAGGTGGTGTGAAAGGGGAATGGGATAAATGTTATTGTGGGGGGGGGAAGTAGCAAAGTTAGAAAAGGTCTGAATGAACAAATGTATAGTGTGCTAGTTTAATTATATGTAGTAGTATGTATGTATGTAGTTGCATGTACCAATATATATTTTTAAAAAAATTCTCCTCCTCCTCCTTCTTCTCCTTCTCCTTTCCCTCCTTCTCCTTCTTCTTTCTCTTCCTCCTCCTCCTGCTTCTTCTCCCTTCCCTTCCCTCCTTCTACTCTTTCTCCTTCTCTTCCTCCTGCTTCTTCTCTTTCTCTCTTCCCTC